GAATGCGTATTCTGTTATTTTAATAAGTGCTGGAACATCCGGAATAATCATATATCTATGTATGTTGCTCGCTCACGAGAGTTCATTATAAGGTACAGCGTAAAGTCGTTTACTTTATTAACAACTTTACGAGCACAAGACCGCGTCAATTTATATGTGCCCAACCAGATTTGAATCGAAGAATTCGATGAAGATCGAGTCGTCCAATATTAGCAGCATAACAAATAGCCGTGTTTATTTGTCCTACTGCTGATCAAGAACATAGCCGGAAAGGTTGTAGGATAACAATAATAATTGCTGTTTATTTTTGCAATAGAAAAAATGTTCATACGTTTTTTAGGCCTATTACTTATTCCATGTGTGGGCCGTTTGTGAGCTTCGCGCACCTCTTTCGTCCAGGCTTACCACCACCGCTACTCATTATAAAAACTGGTCGCGAGAACGTAATGAAATGTACAGGCGTATACAAGCTACCTGCGACAGCTTAGTGTCTAACGTGTTTGCCTATTGATCCTAGTGACACGTGATGGTGTAGGTTCGAATCCGGGCATCGACAGGCACACGTTTCATTTCGTGCTGGAAGCCAGCCATTTGTTGGAATACCGGACGGAAAGTATAAAGGCGTGTGTACATGTGCGCTAAATCTTTCTGTATCGTTTTTGATTTATTAGCTATTTCTTCAGCCTCCAGGCTAATCCATCTACTACAGTGTTATATGCACATACGAGATTGCCATGCATTCCTTTATTGCAATCGTCACTAGAATGTAAACCTATCGTTAAATTACATTTTTTGCCTGCCGCTGTCTTTCTCGGCCTATATCACATGATATTGCTTAGATACCTAGCTCTATGATCGAAAGAAACTCTCGTGTTCCACTACAGATATTTTTACATCTGAAACCATCGCCAGACATAATATCAAACTTTTGTATTCAACATTTTTTTGCAAACTTCATTGCTACTTGTAGAAATAGAAACGGATTCTAAGACAGTGCTTAATTAAGGCAATACTAAAAAAAATAAGCCAGGTAAATTTAATGTTCAGTTGTACTCCCGATATTGCTTCAGAGGGCTAGAGCAGAGCGCACTGTGTGTACAACCGCTTCCGAACTCGGCCCGTCACATTGAATATATGACAAGTAACATTTGTCACTAGTATTAGATAGCCTTGAATTGATCGCGCAAAGCTATTTCTATAACCATAGTACTGAATCTGTATACTATAATGCGTACTCAACCGATAAGGCATAGTCCATCGTTTCACGTAGGAGGATTAACCCTTGTTAACTATATGTAATTGCTGAATGTATAGGAGACTTGGGGCACCGTGGAATAAAAAAAAAAAGGCATTTTGTTGATTACGCTGAGATGATAACGCGCATCACGTTTCTTGCGGCCTGAAACACGAGTGTGGCATACATAGTGAGGCCAGCGAAACAGGTCCTTCCACAGATATTGATCTTAGATAAGCTGATAGATTGGTCTTCTCATTATAATCGGCAATGCTAGTCGGTGCGTAGGTACGCCGAAGAATATTGTCATTTTTCAAAGAGTTCCACCAGATAGTCCAGCACCTTTGAATAATACGTTTGTCATAAATGAACCGTCTTTATTTTTAATGGATAAACACATAACCGCTACGCCGTCAACCCGACAGAAGCAAGTGTAACAGGCAGCACTACACACCAACGATTTGGGGCAATGCAAAATCTAGTATTTAGCAGCTGTTTCTTGCACTACTGCTATTTCAGCTTGGAGAACGCTGAGTTGTTCCCCCTAATTTCGACTTCGTAAAAAGACAGAACTCCTATTTCGTCTAGTAGTCACGTGAACGAGTTGACCTCATAGAGGACGCCTTAAGTTCTTACTGAAAAGCTCATCTTCTCTGATCGAAGAAAAAATTAGCTAAATGTGCCATTCATTCACCACATAGGTGGGGTAAGAAATTAGGTTCTTTCTTACGGACGTTCCAGTTATGCGGTGGCAGAGCTTTACTTTATTGTGTGACCAAAACAAATAACCATATGATGTAGGTAAGCTAATTTATTCCAACGGTGAACGTGTTTGCTAAGCGGCAAGCTCATGTGGGAAATATGTGTACAGGGAAAATAGATTGCTAGGAAACACGCGATAACTTTACATGCCAAACTCTCGGCGACGGCAAAGGGATCTGTTGCCTGTTGCGTTTAGATGGGAAGCTTTACCCCTATCGAATGCTGACACAGAGGACACCTTTGGTTTTACTGGAGAAACGTTATCGGTATAAAGGAAGATGTGCCTATTAGTGTATAATAACGGCACAAACCACGCAACTTGCTTGAATGGACAAACGTTATTGACAGTGATCGTAGTAATCATAACAATAACGTTTGCTGTATCGTTGTGGGACGTACACGCTATGCGCATCTGACAGGAAATATCTCCTAAAGAATAACGAATACATATGTGTATGATCTCACGTGAAGGGCAAACCTGTCAAGTGTCTTCGAATATCTCTGCCTTCAGATGGAATCGTAGTAGCTGGGCTCTCAAGCGACCTTTGAACAGGTAAAAATTCGTACTGTCATAGTCGTGGGCCCATTAAACTAGAAGCTCATAAACTCAATCGAATTTGTACGTGTCAAACTCCTACTACAACTGTTCAATAAGTTGGCTAGTTCACACATTGATTGCGGAGATACGTAGTCTATTGGGAATTTAAATTCGATCTTCGCGGATAATGTGTCGCCTGTTAAACGCTCCGGGACAAGCTCGTTTATCAGTGAATTAATTAAGGTAGCATTAATTCAAATCCAATTAGGCCGTCCACGAGACCCCTGTCGGGATAAATTATATTATTTTTTTCGGGGTATTTTATTTTCGACCTTAGATGTATCTTTATGAATGTTCACAGCGCTGATAGCTATAACAGTTTTTTTTTTTCTTCTAAATTAGTTTAGTATTACCAGTTATTTGTTCTCTATGAAGAGGTCTTCGAAATCACCTGTTCGTACCTTCATTGAGAACCTAATCGAAGCCGGCCTTTCTCGGCTAACCTGGGATTCTTCTAATAAACCGCTAAAACAGCATCGCAACCATAAACTCTTATAATAATACCTTATTTTTCTAACAATTTATATCAGATAGTAATTTCGTAGACCGATCCAATTGTTGTTATTAAGCTCTTGCTGACTAATCTTATCTATTCTAGCACTGAATTCAATTATGTGATGACGACCTCCTGTTCTATTAACTACGGCACTCCTTTTTATTTTTAGTTTGTCAATCATGGTAAGCTTCTTATTCTAAGTGAGTTTGGTTCTTCATACAGGTCTCTAGATTAGAAGCATAGGCAAGCACCTAGATGTTGCGTAAAATTCTCTTACCTGACTAAAATGAGTGGGAACAGCAGGCCCAATCGTCTCATTTTCTATTGCCCTGAAACTGTTTTCCTAAGACGTCTGTTCGAATTTCTTATTCGAAGAGGACCACGTTCCGTGATGCGTGCAGATACCTGCCATGCGTGCATGATGACAATCGCTCTCGCACTTTTCGTCTGCTATGATTGATTGCGTGATTAGGTTCCCAACCGAAGATTGCCCCCAACACACTTGCTTGGCCCGTACACACGACACGCTTCGAGTGTCCAACAGATATAGAAGCATGTAGAACCTTTATGCCACATATTCTTATATGCATCACGTTCTACCTTATAACGTAGCCAAGCTGGAAGCAGTCTACCAATCAAGGTTAGGGGCCTTGGCCTCTTTATTCCATTGCCACCGGGTCGGGAACAATTCGATTTGTTTTCCACTCATCGTTCATTTGACGATGTTTAGGGTTTTGAGTGATGTCTGCGAGATGATCAACCTAATGGAGGAGTTCGCCCGCTGCCAAAAGCCTTTTGGTCGAAATTTCCAGTTTGTTTTTTGGCTTGGGGAGGGAAAAGTAAAGAAGGACAAGCAAGTAACAAGGAAAACGTACCAATGTCTTGACCCAATGCCTAGGCCTATTTCAAAGTCTGAATATCTGTATGCCATGCTAAATGCGGGGCTTTCCAAGCTAATAAATCGATGTAGTACCTTTCAAAGACGATAATTTACGAGATCATGCACATGGACTGCACGCAGGTAGACCAGCGCAGAAGGTCCGAGCAAAAAAAACTCGTTTGAGTTCACACTTACGTGTGTTAAGGGTACGTCTTTCTTGCCCATTTGATCACAGACGTAATCCATTACGTTGAACCTTGAGGATGCCTAGGAAGCGATAGGGATCACGCAAGCAATATTAACTCAATTTGTAGGCCCAGCCAGTGGATATTGCCGGCGCGATAACGAACCCCTTTGGCTGTCTATTATTAATAAAGGTGAACGCTACTCTGTTTTATCGTGTTATGTTGGCAAAGGAGAGATCTGGTGGCGAAGCATCGCTAGAGTGGAAATAACCTCTGCCTCATTGTTGTCATCTAGGTTGCTCTAGCGGAATATAAACGAGCCCATCAAGATAAATCCCCGTTGCCATTCTACAAAACCTGCAAATCGTTGTTCCTCATAAAAGGCCCTTAGTATGGTCGATTTTAATTCGTTATATGTTGAAGGAGCCCTCCAGCTGATTGTCGACGGCTTTAGGTCTACAATAAAGGCAGACGATTGTGAGGGAGTAGACGCTATCTAGCAGTTAGAGTCGTTTTCCAACTACGCCATTCACAGCCATCCTTTAGATAAATGTATGATACAGTGTTATCGGCCCTTTTGCTGAGAACGATTTTGGCGATGAGCGTGTGTGCTACAGTATAGATATGTGGACCTACTGTTGAGATATCTACCAATATATGTCAAGCTAAATTGCATACGTGTATGTTATATAGAGATTGAACTATGTGAAATCGGCTAGAGGAAATTGCTGAAACAAGCTGGTGAACGAAGTATCTTGTTTAGTATTATTATTATTACTGCTTTTAATCTAAGCAGCTGATAAACTAGAACAGATCTAAAGCAGCAGATTTCAATATTCTTTCAGAATTTCAGGTCAAAATGTCTGCGGCGAGTAGAACCGATCTGCTTCCCACTATCGATGAATGCTCAGTGCGAACTAAAGACCATTACAAGCTGGTCGTGCTCGGTGATTCAAAAGTAAGCATATCGAAGTAAAATGACGAAGGCCTAGGTTACTAGTCCAGTATCAGGCAATACCCTGTCGATAATCTGGGTTAGTCTTTGAAACTACGTTTAGAATTGCCAATGGGAAAAGATTTCGCCGTTGCAGATCCTTGTTTTGTCTTATGTCAGATCTACTATCCATAATCTTATTCAGCCTCCTATTCGATGGATTACAACGCGACTATTTAATTTATTAAAGCAACTAGAAAAATACCAATTGAGCCAAGCAAAACAAATCATGACCCATGAGTGAAACACTTATTTCCTCGTTTTCTGTCCTTATTTTATATCACCTTATGCATATTTTTTAAGATAATCCCTTTATTCTATTTGCCTGTTCACCGCTGGCGATAACGAGAATTCTTGAGGCGAGGTCTATCCATGGTTATTACAGGATTATCATATTATTATATAATATGTTGCAGGTAGGGAAGACTTCAATCATCCATCAATTTCTTTACGGTAAAATGCCCCCAAAGTACAGCGCCACTGTCGAAGAGTTCCACCAAGGAGAATTCGATCTGAACGGTACGTATAATATTGCATTATAAATTGATTCTATCATTCCCGCTTTCAGCTCGATGGTCAAAGTATTACCAGCTACCGTAATGATCGAATCGAGCTCGTATAATTTACTACCTTTAGTAGTCGTTAGCGAGTGATTTTTCCAGTGGTATCTATTTCCTGCAGTATTTGTTTTACCAGCGAATAAAGACAAAATCGTACTTTTGTTACCCTGCAAATACTACAGTCTCTTCACTTGGTCCTAACAGTGACGGTATGTATGGTTACATAATTGCAGTATACGTCATAATACCACCGTGTATAAGAAGAATACCACTTACAATGTAGAGGACACCTCTAGTTGCTTATCTGGGCTACTAGGAAGTTAGCTACTAGTTGCAGTAGGTTCCCATCTTTTCGCAGGTAAAGCGAGTACCTTCAGAGTTTAGGCAAAGATAGGATCGAGAATATGGGCGCCGATTGACAAGCCCCTGGCATCAAGGGATCAAGGATCTCCTGGCACCTTTTAAAAGCTACTGATTTTTTTTTCCATACGATAATATAAAGGTTGATTAATCTTTAACGATTACGTCAGAACCTCGTTCATGACGGCGACAATGTCAGCAGCAATGGTTACCGTGTTACAATAATGATATCGAAAACCCGCAGCAGTTCAGGAGACCGGCTGCAATACATTTACTAGACCAACACGATCTCAGAGAGTGATGTGTTTTCGTATGGCTCTAGGCCATATCCAAACAGAAATAGTATCTACAACGATGGTGAATGGTAGCAATCATTCTGTAAGGGCAGCATAAATGCTGATTAGTGAGATTCAACATGGCTACAAGCACAGGAGGATCTGTTGATCTAACCTCCCCAATAGCGGAAGACGGTGCTACGATATTTATAAACAAAGTTAGGTATAGTATATAAATAGCCAGATCAGTGCTTAGAGCGACTGTGACAAGATTAATGCTTATGTTGTAAGAATAGCAATCAGCGCAAAAAGTGCCACTGTCGTCAAACGTTGGTATTACTGACTGTTCGTTGTGGTATATGAAAGCCAGATAGAATGTATGTTGGCTCGCATATAAAAGGCCTGCGTCCAACATACGACTAATGCGTGTGTATGTATGTTTACTTTGGCAGGAACATCGTTGACATTGGACATTGTCGACACTGCTGGTTCTTACCCGTTTCCGGCCATGAGACGCTTGGCTATCACAACAGGCGATGCGTTTATTCTCGTCTACTCGATTGATAGTCAGAAGTCCTTCGAACAGGTAAACAATAATTATGGCACAATCGTACATAAGCAATGGCTGTCCTTCGACACTTCAGTCGGCTATAGGGCATCCCACTAACACGTAAAACACCATGTGAAATGGAAGAGCCGAGTAAATCCAGTGTTGATTTGATCAACATAAGCCCTTCGGCACCGAAGCGCTTTATGTTGATCTGGCTTGCTCGGGTCTGATTTTCTAGTTTTTACAACAGACAAAAAGCGGCCTATATACTTTAAAGATAAGCGTGTCTAGTCGTGGAAATGTGACTGTAGTAGATTCAACGCAGTGGTCATGACCAGGATCATTCCTGCGCTGAACGACGACCTCGGTCTATAATTGGGAAACGAAAAATCTACCAAATTCAAAATTCGACAAAAGTTACTTCTAATTTATGTTTCTTTTCCTATGCCATAAAAAACATGCGAATCTGAAAACGGTCGTGACGACATTTAAAATGCGTAATGATATAGAATATTAGGGTGCCTTTAGCATTGAAGTACTATGAATACTTCATGGCAAAAGTACACCTATTTTAAGGTTGAAAGTGTGTCAATTAGAAGACATTTTGACATGTTATTTCAGAAAAGCTGTAGACGAAGTCGAACAGCCCAAGCCACCATATTATGAATAGTAACTAGAGCCTGACAATTGCACAGCACTGGTCTTCCTTTAGACTGCCTAGGTTCGATTTTGGACCAAACAAATTACTGGCAAAGTCGGAGCTTTATAGCATCAATGGAAATAAGCTACGAATATAGTAATTCTTTCTGCTTCCGGACTGCTTATATGGCACTTCCTGGTCTGACTAAATAAAGATACTAGGGCATGTTGTAGAATTGGCTATAGAAGAAGTTCAGTAAGTGATTAGGTTTAGTATGACCTTTTGTTGCGCTTTACAGGAAAACGACTCATTTCAATATGAAAAAATAGGGCAATTTAAGGGGCGACAAAGTTAAAGGGTTCGTTTAACCTCTCCAGAGCTGCATTGCAGTAAAATCAACGCGAAGGCTGTTTCAGAGGCCAATTACACAGTCGAGTCAGTTCCACCTGCTGTTTCGCCAATAGCCGTTATTTTCTCACCCGAAGTTAGCGTAGAGGGTGGTAAGATCCTTACAAACAGAAACTACGTGGGCATCAACTTGATCCTGTCTGCTGACTGAGTAACTCAATTTTGGTTATAGCAACTCAATTGGATAGATACTCAGCGTTTAAGCTTGGGAACTTTGAACATGATAATTGTCCCAATCTGTAGTTTGTCGCAGAACCTGAGAGCAATTTAACGGTATTGATCTGTTTTTCCAGAACTAAAAGGCTAGAAGCCGTAATTAATAAAACGTCGTAAGCTTCTGTAGCTTGCCCATACTCTACAGAATAGCATTTCTGCATATGCCTTCATTGTTATGGAAGTTTTCGGGTAAATCAGAGCAAACGTTTAAGGAAAAAGGAAGCAATGGTAAATCTACATGTGGACGAAGTGCTTGATTCAAGAGTCTTTTCGAGGTGGTCTTTTTCATAGCCCCGTCATCAACAGGGATATCTGACAAGGATGACCCTCCATCCCATAACAACCATATCCAAGGATGCCATGGGGGCCAATTTAAGGTTTTGCTAGCTATAAAAAGCAGCATACAATATGAAAATCCTATTTTCCATATTTTGCACGAAATAGTTGGAACTCCTTTTCCAGACGACGCAAACAAGCAGAAAAGGCTATCCTGAATTGTCAGGAGGTTCAAGTGTCCTGTTGCATTTTCCTATTCTAATTTATTTTTAGCAATAACCTTCAAACTATTTACTTGGTTTTCCCGCCTCTGGGTTTGCCGCTGTTAATGCATATGACCGCTGATTTTACAAAGCTAAATGCTTGGGCAGACAGTTGACTTTGCTCTGCAATGCGCTTCCTCCTATGCTAACATACTAACGAAGCTGAGGTGAACTTTCTGGTAAGATTTGAAAAGCCAATAGTAGAATTGAGCGTTTTTCAGGCAAAGATACACGCACGAGCAAGGGCAAGATGGTCTGCAAGTTAGCCAATATTTCCTCTAATTCCATAGACGCCTGTAAGGTGCTATAATAACTTGAGGCCTTTCCGTATCCTTTTACTAATTTCTCTTTCTCTCTGCCCCACACATAATTAGCTAACCAAAAAATAGGTATGCATAATTATATCCAATTATCGAAGCTAGTATAACATTGTCTTTGCAAAGAAATGCACTCTACTCTACTAGACAAGTTTCATTATAATTGATAAACAACATCATTAATATATCGGTCTAATGCAACGTTGTATAGCCAAATATACATACCAGCTGATGAAGGCAAGTTATATATAATTGGAACGCTAACAAATTTCGCTTTTCAGGAAAGGGGTTTCAAGATTAAAGTCCAAAACCACCCCTGTAAGTCATATTAACGATGATATCACCAGGAGTTAAACGGCCGTCCGTGGCAAAACGAAGTAACTGACTATATACAACAGTATCGTATTTCGTAAGGGCCGGCAGGATCAAGAAGTTGCTTTTGTAAGGGGACCATTGAATAGAGCCTTCGAGGAAAGAGAAGCCTAATTAGCATGCAATTGGTTTCTGTTTCCATAATAATATAGTTTGATGGTAATCTTCAATATAAGTCAGTGGTAATTTGTGCCAGCGTTTTGTATAGGCGAAGGCGAACAGCCACGGTCTTGTATTTACCTTCGGACAGGAGAAGGATCATTAGTTGACGTCTTTTTTTTCCATAAGCAACGAGAAATAGGTCAGTTTATTTTTCTTGCCTGCTCTTAGGACGAGGCGTAGTGATCTGATATTGGCTAGTCTAAGAAACACTGTCGTATCAAGTTCAACATAATTGTTTAGGCACTAAAAGGTCTCCATTTATGTTTATCTTTCATATAGCAGAAATACTTGATGAAAGAGCCGAGTTGTACAATGGCAGGCGAAAGAGACATGAACGTGTGTATGATCTTGAGTTTTTATAATCTACGTGCACGAACATGGGTTTGTCATCCGTCATCCTCTACGGCAAATATAACACCCAAGCACATCTATAGAATAAAACATATGTTCTGCTTTCGCTTGGGGTATGCCGTAATTTGTTAGGAAAGGTTTAACTAAATCCATGTTGAATTGCTAAAAAAACGTTTCTGTATAGCCCTCTCTCGTATCGCTTTGCGTATTGGGTCATTTACTTGAAGGGGAGAAATAACGAGACAATCGTTCATGCCTATACTTTTTTTAGGTAGTAATCCATTGTGAGGCCGTCTCCGATTTTTATACCGAATGCCTAGAAGACTTCCTTCTCGGAAACTTTTTTAGGTGATATTGCTCCTGACAGCTATATTTTGACCATAGTCATCATAATCATCCATTCTTATATCTATTATGATAGGTACGAGCACTCCGTGACGAAGTTCTCGAATACTGTAATCGGCAGGCACACATTATAGTGGTTGGTAATAAAGCTGATCTTGAAGAACGAAGGCAAGTTAAGAAAGAACTTGCAGAGACCCTCGTTGAAATTGACTGGGAACATGGTTTCATTGAGACGTCAGCTCGTTCCAATGTGAATATTTTGCAGGTGAGTTATTCTGAGCATACATTGATGGATATCCTAAAAAAAAAATTTGTTTCTTCACACTTTCCCTACAATTGATTTGCTAGTTTTGGGGGTATAGTGGGGAGGCATACGTTAGGGCAGGGTCAAACAGTTTATGGTCGAAACCACTTTTTAACAAGATACTTAAACAATGTTGGGTTTTTACTCTTACGCAGTGCTATGTGGAACGAGACAGCTCATATATGTTCTGAGTGTGTCAAGTAAACTATAGCTGTCGCTATAGATGTTGATGAAATCCGGTAGTGATCTCTGATCTAGATATGACTTCACTTGGCTTTCAGACCTTTTAAGGTCGGAAATAGATCTACACACAGCTATCTACGCTTTTTGTTTCTAATTAAAGGCTAACTGTAACTGGGCCTATCATCGATCATTTCATGACATTTTACAAAATAATATTTGCATTACACTTCGTGCTATATTCCGAACGTCCTATGTATCCGTCTACACAAACTGTTTGCTAAGCACGATTATATACCAGCAATGTACTTGTTTGCACAAGTTATTTTCTGTTCTTCTATACAATTTTTACGTATACGCTTTACGGAAATTGTAACGTAATGACAGCATCTCTGATACATCGCAAAAATTCCTCACTATTACCATTTGGTCGTAATTGTCTAGTTATTATACAACAGAATAATTGCAGTATACTATCATTTGTAGGGCGCTATTATGCTGTCGACTAAGTCAGTCATGGGTATTTTTACCCAACATTAAAACTCTAAAATGATTTGATTGTTCGACGATTTACTTATAAGATATTTCCGCACGTGTCAGAAGATCTAGTTGATCTTTCTGAAGACTCATTAATGTTCTCTAAAGCTGCTTATGTTTAATGTCTATAGTCAGAGCAGCGTATCAGTCCCGATACTCAGGGCGACTTTGGCGAGATGCAGCATATAACCGACGGATAATAGATAGGCCAAATAGATTTGCAACGTCTGCTGTCAGCTTTTTCTGAGCAGTCGGATTAACAATTAACTGATTTAATTCGCATATGTTTACGCTTTTGCCTACCTATAATTTGTTTAGAGCTGATCACAGCTTCAAGTTTTGGATGGTCAGAAGCGGTAGGAAACTAGTCGCCGGTCAGAGTATCTTTGTATACCACTAAGTATAACGAAATAATGACATACATATATATGTCTTTATGTTCGATATGTTATCCGAAACGGTTATACAGCAGATCGATTGATACCTTCGGCTTTTCGTTCCCAGTACGATCAGATGATGGAACGAGATTTCAATATTTGCCAGTTTCCTGGAGTGGGAGCATGCTTACTTGAGAGACGCTATTGGGCGAGACCATAATAATTTCTTGTCGTATGATGATGCTTTGACGGCTGAACTCACTGCTATACATTGTAATGTTCGTTTACGCAGAGTACTCAGTCATGAAGGCATCGTACTACAATAAAGTATCACAGAGCAAACGTTATGCAATGATTACGATGAGTGCTCGAGTCGTTCGTATACGAAACCTTTAAATTGATCATAGTAATTGGCCACTTTGCGGTGCAACCAGTGTCCGTATTAGCTATATATTACTGTACAAAAATACTCTAACACGACCTGGGACGTCCGCGAATTTATAATTTACCGAAATTTAAAAGGAATCTATTTGTTTTATTTATAATAGAAATCGCGCGCCTATTATTGTTTTAAATTTGCTCGGATTTCGTGTTCTGTGTGTTCACTAGAAGAAAATTTGGTCCTTCTTCCAAGCTCTGCGTACAACGTAACCGCCTCCAACTAGTAGGGGGCACAGGAGTGCGATTGCTCGTTAACCATAAGGAACAATTCAAGAGACACCGTAATCTTCACTCGAAGTTCATTATTTTGGATGACAGTGATGACCGTAGACGTAAAACTGGGCTTGTTGACGACAATCGTGCTTCGAGCCAGTGATTAATCATTATGGTAATATGGTATATTAATTTAATTCAATATTCTAATGAGCTCTCAGGGATCGACTCGACGATTGAGTTACGGAACATGGCCAATTTTAGTGGTTGACTGATACACGAATGAGGATCTACCGGGGTTTTTCCAGTTACCGCAAATACAAAGAAAATTAATCGCTTCCAAATAAAAATAAAAGTACGAAGTGTCGATTGGAATTGTCTCACAAATACCGGCCACTATTAAGCTTCATAGTTCAATTCCAATTTTGTATCACAGATCCCAACGGAATAGAGTTTTGTTATATCCCTGTATATATCTTACGGTTATTGCTGCGTGTTTTTTTGTCAGCTTGTATGGCAAGCAAAAATTCAGCTATATAGTATTATTACGTGGGATAGCCAGCATATCGTACACGCGCATATCGTAACGTAAAGCGTATTGCTTTATTGTTGCAGATCTTCAGAAAACTGATGAATATATCGAAGATCCCGATGGAGCTAACGCCAAAAGTTCTCGAGAAACAACGTCGAAAGTCTCTGCCAGTTCACAATACCCAGCCATCCCTTAGGGACCAAACACTTCTTAAACGAAATTCCTGCAACGTATCATAAACCAATCGAACTTCTGAAGCCCTAAGGCAATATCGATCGTATCTAACCGGCGCGACGCTTGCTTTCGAATTTACCGGGTAGGCCTCGAAGTAGTTTCGGCGTATTTCATTTTCATCGTAACAAATCAGTGAATCATCACCAAATGTCATGAACAGCATATATAACTCGTATACAATAACCAGGAAAAAAACAAGTGGAATCGAGGCATCAGATACGTCAATAATAGTGGTTAAGATGTCTGCTAGAAAACTAACGGACACCAATAGGACGGAGGGCGCATAACGCCGCAAACACGATGAAGTCCAAGAAGAATCGCGGACTTGCAAGCCAGCCGTAGAAAAATTAGATATCCTGCATAGAGGCGAATGCTGCGTGTCGATGCCATGTTCTAAGAAAAGTCGCTATTTCTAACGTCCACTTCTTATCCAATTGTGGACCGAAGGAACACGTTCACCCAACTTCCAGCTCATCTCAATTCCTTAACGTCGACCTTGAATCTCGAAAAGCGAAGCAAAACCAAAGGAATGCATAGAGGATAATGACAAAAATACCTAGAACTACTGCTCATATCATCCATTCGCTATGAGGTATTTGGGGGTAGGCAAAAGACTAAAAGTACCTATACCCAAAATAAGACATATTGCTTCTTCCGATAAGCCGAATAATATCGAAAATTTACATTAATTACCCAAATGAAAATGAAAAACACACAAAAATTGCATAGATGATAGTCATTCGCATATAATTTTTATTAAATAAAAACAAATAAACATTCAATACTGGAAAAACGCTTAGAGAAAGGTAGGGAAAGATGCGTGAACCGAAGTCTTTCGAAAATAAGACTGATAAATAAACGAAGCAAAAAAAACGGAAAATCCTATACATGCGACACATATATACAGCATACGCGTGCATATAGCTTACAAATCATTCACATGGATATCTACACGAAAATACAACCAGCTAAGTACAATACGAAAATATTTTGAAGAATATGGAAAAAATATGCCAAAAACCTTATTGGCTTCGAACTATGGGGTTCAGACATTCGCCTGATAATGATACTGAGAAAAAAATTGCACCGTGCTAACACGATGTATATGTTAGAAATCAAAAGTATAATTATTAATGTAGAAAAAATGAAGAAGTTAATAAATAAACGACCTACTTAATAAATTGATACTACAGCGTCTCTAGTACTATGGCTTGCTGTCCTCACTATCGTAGCATTTATATATATATATATATATACATACCAGCCTGCAAATAGCAACTAGCTATTTGTGCTCTGGACAGACGGGCAGAATATTGATCGAAGTTTCAATTGACAGGCAGCCTGTATAGGGGTAGAAGGAATTTCGAAGCACGCACTTCTTCATTTTTTTTTTCTCATGAATAACTGTATCTGTTTGGCCTCATAAAGTGACCAGTTAAAACTATATATGAGCTAAGCGAGAAAAGAAAACTCTCGGTAAAGAAATATCTGCTATTGGGTATCAATTGTAGAGCAGCCTTTATTACGTCCATTTCAATATCCGTTATATAGAGATCCATCAAATAAAGCCATGTGACTTGGATCATTTCATATATTTTCCCGTTGCGAATAGTATTATTATTAGAGTGCAGCGCGGCTAGTTTCAACTTTGAATTTCCCGCTTTGTAAGTACGTGCGTCTGCTATTCTTTGAGCAGTAGCTTGATAACAACATGATGCGTAACGTTCCCCATACATTCGGCTGACAAACAACAATTAAGCCTTGTCAATAGTCGACTACGTCCAGAGCTATCGGTGAGGAAGATAGATAGGCGCTACTAGAAGCGATACAGAACCCGACTCTGAGGTATAATTGTAATTTATGAAAATCCATTGCATCCACTCACACATTCAATGTTTCGCTCCACGGATCATTTTATAAAACGTAAACATTGTCAAACTCTAATAAATGCAGATAAGATTAATAGCTGAAAATTACAATATTAAGGACGATAAGGTGCAGTTATCGTAGGTGTTATTTTTGTTACTGGATTTTTCCTTTAGCAAATTGAAATATGGGCAAGTCTACGTTATAGCAATGGAGACATATGGGCCAACGAATTAAATGTCTTTGATTGATATTTTGTTAACAAATCATTAATGACTGTAATTCTTCTTCTTCTTGTAGCAGATGTTCTCAGATTAAATAAACTTTCGCCCACCTTACCTCACCCTGTCGTTTATTTTTGGTATATTTCAAACTGAAAACAAATGCGAAGATCGTAATGAACGAATCGTGTTGATTTGCTGGCCTGGTAAGAGGCCATGTATTGCATATACTGTATGGAGACTTAGCAGAAACAGCAAAAGTAATTTGGTTCAAGTACTATAGTATTCTAATCTTAGGCTTATCAAGAAACCCATAAAACTTGCTTTCGTTTAGAATGTCATCGAATTTGTATCTAAATGCATAGTTATTATTACAGCATACGGAATACACAGTGCCGTAGAGCAACTACAGGAATCGATTTAAACCAGGGTGGAAATACGGGCCACGTCAGCAGGAAGTTGTCGGACTGCCACAGCCGGCATGCTGACAGCGCTTCTATAAACCCGCTCGTTCGCAGCGGGACCATTTAGCCCGCATCGCATCGTTTACTAGAAGCAATACAGATGCACAGCAATCAATATTAAGCACGCTTCTATCGGGAACTCGAAAACGGGAAACATCATGCATAAAGTTTGCAAAAATCACTGGAGAAAGTCGCATCTACAAGCTGAAAATGATACATAACGCACAGCAACGTATCAATAAGTAATCGACTAAGCCAAGAACATCCACGCAATCTTCTACGTAAAGAAGGAACAGGAACTGTAACAAGCTATTTTTTTTTTTTTCGTTTTCGGCATTAATAAAACACTTCGTGCGGATCTGTAGAAACGAGTCAGGGGACGAAATTGGCCTAAAACCAGGACCTGTAAGGGATGATGCAATCATGCTTTTAACAACTGTGAAGCTGAAAAAGGCATCGTGGTAGAAGTAATTCAAAAACAGGTCGCGGCACAAGTGCTAGATTTCAGACTACCAATGCCTCAAGTCAAGTTGTCAAGTATCGGTGTGAGGAGAATCCCATACGCTGGATTTGAATTTATCGAATATAATATAAAGACCCTCGAGACAAACTTAATTATTCTTATTATAATGGAAATATTCTCCAAAGCCTTTCACTCGGGATAATCAAACGAATAGTATGAAAATACTGTCAGTTGAAATAGACTCTGTTAGTATACGCTTTCCCTTGGATTAGCCTTTAAAAAATGGACATGATGAATGCAATTTTTTAAAGCCGTTTTTAGTCGTATCATAGAATATCCCAAATGCGGTTCTGACACAGTTAACGCAGAACAACTTTTTCCCTCTCACTTTTATATGTATATATAGTGTTTGTCAAAATAATTTCAAAGCAGACGACACGACTCGTCTGCTTAAATGAAACAAAGAACAATTTCGAGAATATAAATGCGCTTTTAACAGAAATCCAATGTTGTTTGATACTGTGCGAACTGCAAACTTCATATATATATATATATTTTTTTTTTTTTTTTGTATATCTCAAACACTAAATTGCCTATTGGTCTTAGTTCTTTTGAGAATAGTTTCAAGGCGGATGTAGAAAATGCGCAGTAATATAATGATATTGCAAACACGTGGCAGAGGTGAGAATGTCAAACAAACGGTTTAAGGATAAATCAGAAGTTGATAACTATTTATTTAAAATCTTTAATTAAAGAGATTTCTTGCTGGTCGAATACCTTTTGCTTAAGGAGTCATGGTATAATTATTTAAGAACAACAAGCTGGGTTTTGAAATTTCACGGGAAATATACGTTCACTTACACTCGTCGCCATGGGATGAACGCCCAAGTCAGACAACGCCGTGTTTAAAAATTACGTAAACGGCTAGGTTTTTGGGGTCAGTGACTCTTATCAGAATTTCCCGAACGCGAGAGTAGCCTTTCGCGTATTCAATTGTAATGCTGTCAAATCGGCTTGATTAAGTAGATAGAAATACCATTTAAAACCTAGCTAAGCTACTGGATAGAAAATTACTATCTACAGGAACGTTTCAGGAAACCGCGATGTATTTTTACTTGTCTCCTTAAAAGAACTGCATGCGAAATTGAGCATAGGACAAGACGACGTTGATGGCACTAGCTTGTCATTTGCTTAGGACTAATTACCAATACAAAAATTTTCGCTGGCCTTAATTTGCATTCGTCCAACTCTTTAGGCCCTTATTACATAATTATATGACCTATAACGAAAATCGCGGGAAATCGTATGATAAGACCGAGGAAGACCGTCTCTCATATGCCCCAAACCGATTACGATGTTTGATACGCCTACACTTGCCCTTACCATGTCCAGTTCAGGATATGCAGAAAATGTACGCATTGAAGTTACAAAAGACGTCGACACCTAGGTATGCACCTAATTGTGACATTATTGTGAGCACCCGTAAACCAATCACCTGGTTAAAAAAAGAATGCAGTGCTATTTTGTGGAATAAAGTATGTATGGTCTAGCTCTATTCACCGAATATCATTCGTTTTACTAGTTACGCTTCAGTTTCCTTTGGTTGTGTCGAATCCCGTATAATTTCAACTGGAAGGCTCGCATTCATTTACAACAGCTATAAAATGTCACATAAATTATTTTACCTTTGGATTAACATTTTTTCATAAGTGGATTACAATCATTTACTACTATTATAGTATATACTCATAATATGAATATTATTGATAGGCCTTTAGACACCTACATTTGCCACTGGAATATCCCATTTGAGAGCTTTTTTCTTTCCACACGTTCCATAATACTCCGCCAAGTGCTCTTACGAACTTCATGCAGTAAAAGTTTTTCCAGGCTTCTCTTACTTGCAAAGATCTTTGATAAACTGACTTCAGCAAATAGTGAATCCCGAATTATAGAACCACTCCCAGCCAAGTGGTAGCACCTATTAAAACTAGAAGAAGTCTGTAAGCTTGCACAGACTTTTCCTTGTCTATTATTATAATTATCGCGGAGAAACAAATACCCTAGTTGTTCAGCTCTGATTCCTAACGCGCTGGCCTAGTTGCGAGCAGACAATACAAGGCAGCACCAACGTCGCCTTGTTTCATGTCTGACTCAGTGTAAACCTGGACGCAGCTTGCCATTGATGAGCGTCGGGAATTGAAATACGTAAGAAGCTCCGGTGGGACGCTTGCCAACGAAATGCGGTATGACTCGCATTAATAGGGAAGGAAACAAAATTTGAAACGTTTTAGCTCGTCATATGTCCGTTTTCCAGCATCTAATTCTAACAAGAATCACAACGGTTATCAGCAAAGCGTCTTTTGGTCTCGAATTTACAAAAGGAACTTACAAAGATCCGTTTAGTTTCAGGATGGCCGGGATGTATGTGTCCCCCCGCAGGAACGTACGCAGAGCTTATAAATTAATTAGTCCTCTAGCATATTCTGGGCCAGCTAGAGATGTAAATACCAAGTTTTCCTATACGCTCAAACGTGAACATTTATCAAAGAGCATTTATATTGTATTATTATAATCAGGACGAACAAATTATTATTTTAGTGATGATATCATGTCGATGATAGCCGGCGAGACATGGAACCTGCCATGTTTTAAGGTCAAAAATAAATGGACGCCCTTGGAGGCTACGACTTATACAAGCTGTCGGCCTGCCGTTGTATAGGTGTCGCCAGTTCATTCCAGCCATTGCCAAGAGTGATCGTAAAGCTGGCAAAGGGCGCAACAAATGGAAGTAATTGCATTCAAATTAGATCGTACATATAGTTCAATTACGAAAGCTACCATTTATTGTGGGTCTGCTTATAACAATTCAGGTCAAGCTCAGAACAGCCACGGTAATGCCAAATCGAATAAGCAACGTTCACTTCGCGCTATCTGGTTCACCAACCTCGGGAACCTTTAGGTCGATTTGTGCGCGAGCGCTTTCATAGACTGGTAGATAGGTTTGTCAAAAAAGTATTGACCGTTTATATAGTTAAGCAGCTTTAGAATCACATATTTCAGATAAAACGGATCGCATTGGCGTTTGTGTCGTTCGAAGACAGAGACTTGACTGTATTGAATGTCCTAAAGTTATTGAAATGCCTTAATTCAGACTTAACATAGAGCATCTTGAAGATGACAAAATCTCCTTCAAAGATTCGTTATATTTCACAGTTTTATTGTCACAAAAAATGAAATACTGTCTAAATCTATTGAAAAAATTGGGCTGTGTATGGTCAAGGTATGTTATCAAAAAGGAGGCGGCCTAAGATGCTCCTTGTAATGATTTATTGTTTGGAAAGTAAAGTTGATAAAATCACAACGAAAGTCAAGCAAGAACGACACACGAGTAGCCGTGATATCGCCGAGGAGCTAGAGACCCATCGCCAAACAGTTTTGAACCACCTAAAAAGGCTGGCTGGCGACAGAAAAAGAAGCTCGACGTTTGGGTGCCACACGAGTTGACGCAAAGACACTCACTCAATCGTATCTCCATCGTTGAAACCTTACAGAAAGGCAACGAGATAAACCCATTTCTAAAGCGGTTCATGACGACTAACGAAAAGTGTAAATAAAAACGTGGTAAAGGCCACATTGACCCAATGCTGTTGGGATTGAAAATGAATTGTTGATTATGGGTTGCCGCTACTGCGACCGCTGCTTCGCAAAACGATTGATACGTACCACTATTATCAACGATTACCGATATTACAAAAGAGGCAGTCAAAAAAAATCGGTTAAAACTAACTCACAGAAAGGGTAATGTCATCCGCGATAACAATGCCCGACCACATACATTTTTAGCATCGAATTTGGCAGTTTGGAATGCATCCGCCGTACAGCACGGATCTTGCGCCATCAGACTATCATCATCTGTTTGGGCAACTACAGAACTTGCTTAATCGTGTTGATTTAAGTTGACAAGAGGAACGTGAAACCTACTTGTTACAATTCTTCACAAAAGTTCCACAGTGGCTACCCGAAAAATGGGAGCAAATTACAGATCGAAGCGGCGCGTATGTTATTATCTTAAAAATACGAAAAATATCTGCTTTAAGTTTGTCGACGGTCAAACGGTCAGAAAACGGTAATTCTTCTTAGACGCGCTAGATAAAAAAATAACAGCAGCATAAGGCGTACGGAAGTTT